CCAGGGCTGAAGCTAACATTAGCTTCGGGGCTAACTCCCTTCACTTTGTGCTTGTCCAAAGCAGAGGTAAACAGAAACAGGGAGGTTGGCCACAACAGACCACCGACCACAACAGAACATAAACAGTGTTTTAACAGCTCCTGTATAACCAACTCACTCTTCAACATGACAGGGCTCAAACTGCTCTCAACTCTCACTACCGGTCTCTCTCGCACGCCCCACGCACATATACGCACACAGCCATTCACAGACAGACATACGCTACTAGCATAACACACAGTAGCCTACCAGAAAAGTCATTGATCGCTAGTGGTATGAACTTCATTAGCCCGTAAAAATCCATAAATAGAGGTAATAGATAAAAAATTTGTTGAAAACGCAAAAACTGTATGGAGGTGTCACACATGTTTACACACAAATACCCATAAATACATTACCGAGGGGTTGTTAATTTCCCTTTTGTCAAAATAACACACAAATACCCATAAATACATTACCAAGGGGTTGTTAAAAAAATGAAACCCCAAATTAAAAAACAGAAAAGGCTAGATTTTATTCATTTGGGTTAAATTAGGCCTATTTGAGTTCATAAGAAATTCAAACTGTCCGCTTTACTCAGGCTCATGCACGCTCCTTTTTAGCTTTTAGCTACACATTTAACAAATAAAAACACAAAACAATACTTGTTCATATTGCTTTACCTAGCCTGCTGGTAAAATTGAGCTCTAAATATCCTCCTTACTAACTAGTGGCACTGTAGTCACCTGATTGGCTGTTACAGTACACATGAAATAATCATAGAATGAACAGATTAAGCACTTATATGACTTTCCATAAAATAAAAAGAAAAAAATGAAAAATTTATTTACATTTATCCTTGATTTATGCTTGTGTTTTTTAACCATATTAACATAGGTTACATGTGCTTATGACATTAGCCATTCTAAAAGCATGAAGATTCTGTAGTACTGGCTCATTTACTATACTATAACACTATTACACTATAATGGACAATTAAAATTTGTTTTTTGTAATGCCTCTCACGATATTATGGAAATGATTTGAACTTTGTATACACTGATTTGAAATAAATCTGTATTTGAAAATCAATTTTTGTGAGTGATATTTTGAGTATGGGTGATTTAGAAATATCACAGCTGCAGTATTTCATTATCTCTTTTACTTTTGTACGGAAGCGTATTGCTGCCACACTGAGAAAAAAAAAATTGGCTCGGTGTCACGTAATTACGTGACACTGAGCCAATTTTTTTTCTCATTGTGGCAGCAATACGCTTCCGTACTTTTGGTACTCAACGACACAAAATATTCAGTCAAGTGACGGTAGAGGGCAGGATTGCGTTGCAAGAGGAAAAGAGAAGAAAACAAAAAGGAAGTGACGTAATAACAAGCATCCGAACAGGACCAACGAAGCTACACAGGTAAGCTTATAACTTATTTCCCCCTTTTATCCTTAATTTAAAGGCCAACAATATCACTCTTCACGAAGCCACCACCTGTCTGCCGCATGACTGAGAGTCTGATAAAAATGTCAGCGAGTGGCTCAACTCTAGTTAAGACGGAAAACATTTCTGGAGCTAATGTTTTTAAAGTGTCATTGTGATAAGTAAATAATATACTATTATACATAATATACGTTATAAAAAAAATATATATACTCAATATATTTTTTCGTGTTTAAGAGCGTTGTCGTCAGTAGGATACAACAAGAATTCGGCCTAAGACTGGCACGAGCTTTACATATAGTATTAGTCCTTTCGTTATGGTCTTGAAACGCTGTTGACAATAGGCGGATAAGAGGGTTTTCCAACGATATTTATTCATAATTCGGACGAAAGGATTTGTTATAAAAGTGTGTGCTGTGTGTTAATTGTTTTTGTCGTTGAACAAATTTTTAGTTATTTCATTTCGCAAATTTCGAGACGCTTTAAAAGAAGGTTAAGCTACATCAATGGACGACAACAAAGTGGGCACCATGGATTATTGGTCCAATGGAACCAGCAGTTTTTCCTTTGATGGTGCTGGATGATAATGCTTGATGATGACAATGCAGGGTGTCTTTGTCTCTGTCTTTGTCCATTTTCGTGATTCCTGTGCTACAGCCTGTCGGCTACTGTTATTCCAAATTCACAAAGCCTGTGATGTGTAATCCTTATAAACATTTCTCATTGAGATATGGATGTTTGAAATTTTCAAGATCATAGAAGAAGAAGCACTTAAAACCTTATCTTTTGTGCGGCGAGACTAGTTTTGCTGCACATTTGCATTCACACTGCCAAGTGTGTGCATTAACTAATCCATCTCGAGATGGGGGTTTCGATCCCAAAAGCCATAAACCTATATATGACATTGGGTGGGAAATGAGCATGTGCGAGACTTTGCAGGATTGGTGAAAGAAAGAAAGTGAAATACTTGCCCTTGTGACACAACACACCACTGCACACAACGAAATGTTACCTCTGCATATTACCCATCACCAAAGTGAACAGTGGGCAGCTTTTTGAGGAGCAGTGTGTAGGGACAGTGCCATGCTCAGAGCACCTCAGTGGCAGCTGGTGGACTCGAACGTGAAACTTTCCGGACCCAAGTCCACTTCTTTAATCATCAAGCCACCACTGCCCCTGTGGTATAAGGCAAAATGGATAAAAAGTTTCCTTTAGCCTTTAGCTAATGAATTAAAAAAAAACATCTCCAGGTGGATTAGTTCATGCGCATTAGTTGAGAAGTGAGTGCGCATTACATTGGAGCATGAACTCAAACATGGGAACTAGGGTCAATGTGCAGCCGATACCGTATTAAGTGCCGGTATGGAAACGTCATTATTGTTTTTGCAAATGTTCCCTTCAGAAGTGCCAGTTTTTGGACTTCTTCAATCTTTCCTCACTGTTAGGATTATTTTGTTTTATGAAAAAAACAATCTATTGAAGTGTAGTAGTGGTGGCTTGGTAGTAAACGCAGTGGACTTGGGTATGGAAGGTTGCAGGTTCAAGTCCACCTGCTGTCAAGTTGCCACTGAGTTGCTCTGAGCATGTCACTGCTCCCTGGACACTCAAACTGCCCCCTGCTTACTTTGGTCATGGGTTAAAAGCAGAAGTCACATTTTGTTATGTACAGTGGTGTGTCGCAATGACAAATAATTTACTACATGACTTTTCATTCAGTTCCACGCGTCATTTTCGTGTCGTTATTCTGTCAGTTGGTTTAACGGGTAAATGTCAAAATTGTGAAAACAATGTTTCTCATTAAAATTTGATATTGTGCCTAAAGGTTACAATGCAAATGGAAATTCAGAATAACTTTTCATAAACTGATCAAAGAATAGAGAGAAACAATGAATGTTTACAGCATACTTAGAGAAATAAAACATACTTTACAAACATATATTTTAAAAATACTTTGAGATTATATTTTATAACAAATAGCTTATTTCATTAGTACAATTGAAATAAGCTATTTGCATAGTTTTTAGAAGGGAGAATTATGTAATACTAGTCATGTTTCTGTGGTTACACCATTTGACATTTTAATAGGACTGTGATTCAATAATTGGACATTTTGGACATCATTTCAACTCTTTTTTTTGTCACTGACCCATGTTTTAGTAGAAGTTTGTATATTTTAGTCATTTAGGCTTGTACAGACAAATACTGTGGGTAAATGCAGTTGCATGTTTGAAAAATCATTTTACACTTGCTGACTGTAACAAGCCTGTATTTCATTCATCAAACTTTTACTACTACAAAAAAATGCAGCTGTCATTTGACCGAAGATGTGTTCTTTTTAATATTTGGAATTTTATTCATGTCATTGTTAACTATTGCTTTATAAAATTTGATGCCACAGATTTTCAAGATGAGCAGGAAAGAAAGTTGCAATCGAACGGCAGAAAATCCTGGAGAGGAGGACGATAAGGATGAAAAAGAGGAGCAGCGGGAAGAAAAAGAGGAGGAGGACTTCTATGACTGCCAGGAGACTCTGAAGCCTCCTGACGCACAAAAAGAAGAGCCTGGAGACTGCAGTACCACACCTGAGATACGAAAAGACAACGATGAGGATCAGGAAGGGGAAAGTGCAGGAAATAGACAGCAGGACGATTCAGATTCAGAATTCCAGGAGCAACAAGCAGAGTTTGACGATGACTACCTGAGGGAGGCAGAGAAAGACCTGACTGATGAGGAGAAGAAGGTAACACTTGTGTGCAGCTGTGTGTTGGAGAACATTAAAGTGATGAAAGTTATTTAGCTCATCGAGGGCAACTGGACGAAGTTTTTTTTTTTAAGACATTTCACCTCTCATCCAAGAGGCTTCTTCAGTTCTGAAGAGAACCGAAGAACAGACATCTTCATCCAGTTGCCTTCAATGTAACTATTTTTGGATTAAATAACCTGGATGACTGAGAACCTACGCAGACAAAATTTATTTAGCTGTTTAACAACACATCTTTTTCAGAGTCGACAACAGCAAAGCCTAACTTTAAAGGAAGAAGGGAACAGACACTTTAAAGCCTCAGGTAAATTTAAGTGTTTAGTAATTAGTTACAATGAATTAGACCAGACATTTGTTAGGCCACAACACACAGTTTTGCACTGGAATAATCCCACAGCACACCACCAAATGAAATTGTCCAAAAAGTACTGGAAATATGATACAGTTTACTCACAAATGACTTATACAATACTACAATCCTGAGCCTGTTTAGTTGAACACAACCCTGATACACATGCTGTGAAGAAAGACGCACACAAAGATGGTCTTTAACAGTATGTCTCCCCCCCCTTTTTATAGCCATGTACTACCACCTAGTGGACGAATTCCCCGTATTGATCTGTCGGGGCAAAGTTGTTGGGAAGCACTGAATGAGTTCATACAGGAATTGAACAGTATTATACCAGATTCAAGTATTTGTTCAATGAACCAGAGCAAATGTGATTCATATTTTCTTAGATCAAACTAAATTAGATCAAAGATATTTAAAAAAAAAACACTTGAGATCAATGCCTAAATTTCTATCTATCTAATCCATCTATCTATCTATCTATCTATCTATCTATCTATCTATCTATCTATCCATCCATCCATCCATCCATCCATCCATCCATCCATCCATCCATCCATCCATCCATCCATCCATCCATCCATCCATCTATCCTAGTTTGGGAAATACCAGTGTAGATCATAAACAGGGAACATTCTGCTTTGTTAATAGTGTTGTGTAAGTCTCATCATGTGTCTACAGACTGGGTAAAGGCAGAGCAAACCTACTCCGAGGCCCTGGTTCTGTGTCCGGTTTGTTACAGCACGGAACGTTCGGTACTGTTCTCCAACAGGGCTGCTGCACGATCGCATCTGGTAACTGGACATTAACATGCAGTCACATACTAATCGGATGCTAACAGAGGCAGCAGAATGCTAAAAGTTTTTTTTTTGTCAGGGTTCTAAAGACCAGGCAATCGCAGACTGCACCAAGGGTAAGTGATGATGCCACCTCATGCCTTTTCTGATGTTTATCAACCAATGGTTGATTTTTTGGTTGGTGTTTTGGTGCAGCCTTAGAACTGAATCCAGACTACGTGAGAGCGTTACTAAGGAGGGCTGAACTGTATGAACAGACCGAGAAGTTGGACGAGGCGCTAGAAGACTACAAGAATGTTCTAGAACGGGATCCAAGTCAGACCTGCGCCAGGAGTGCTTGTATAGTAAGTCTAGTAGTTTCATTAAGATTTGATATAATACCAATTGTTTTTACTTTATTTGTTTTGTTCAATACCACTAGTTTGTCTGATTTTTTTGTTTTTTTCGATTTTTTGTTCCCTCTCTATATCACGGTTCTTCTTTCGCTCCCTCACTCCATTGCAGATTTTTTTTGATCTGATCTTTTGATCTTTCCGAATTTTTAATATGTTGCGAAATATAGTAAAAAATAAACTAGAGGGCATTATAAAATAATTATACATACGAAAGTTTTTGCTTTAAAAATGTGGATTCTCGTTTTGAAATTGAGATAAACCCATTTGCGAATGATTGCTGGTAGGTTTGTTTACTTATACAAGATCGTATACAGCATAGTACTAGCTAATACAATGCGTACTCGATGTACTATTGGCTAATCGAGCGTGCTCTTCTGTTCCTGACGCTGATTGACTCATGCATCGTAGCATCTCTCAGCCTCTCCCAGTGTCTGTCGGCCACTCGTTCACTCTGCATCGCCGTTATATAACTCTGCTGTGCATATATGTGGGTGGGGTAATACAGTCTAGGGAGGGTTGATAACAGTGTGGGGGAGGTTCATAACGAGTACATATATATGTAAATAATATAATATGGCTGGACTCACCACCCGCAGGAAGGCTTAGGGGGGTTGGCACGGTGCAGTATGATTTGGGTGGCGGTCATGGAGACTGAAGGCTTCAGGTTCGACTGTGGATAAGACATTGATATCAAATCAGCAACCAAAATTTTGACAGAGTTGTTTTTAGTTAGATAAGTGTGTTTATGATGACTGTATAGCGATGTTGCTTGAATGCAGCACTCGCTGCAGACCCTGTCACTATAGTATGAGATATGCATCTTTGTAAAATAAACTGTAACAAAATATTCAATAAATACATTTAAAAGGTAGATGGATGGATGGATGGACAGATAGATAGATGGACAGATAGATAGATGGACAGATAGATAGATGGACAGATAGATAGATGGACAGATAGATAGATGGACAGATAGATAGATGGACAGATAGATAGGATAGATAGATGGAGAGATAGATAGATAGATGGACTGATAGATAGATGGAGAGATAGATAGATAGATAGATGGAGAGATAGATAGATGGACTGATAGATAGATAGATGGATGGATAGATAGATAGATAGATAGATGGACAGACAGATAGATAGATAGAACATTAAGTTTACAAATTTCAAAAATCACAAGAGTCTGACTAATGCTTGGGAGCCAAAATGAACGTATGGTGTACAACTGGCGAACAAAGCCCTCTTCCACGTATAGCCCTACATAGTGATGTAATTGTCCGATCCGCTCAGCCAGCTACTTTCTGTGCAAAATCAGTTTTAATGCCATGCTTCAGAATGATGGAACAACACTTTAAGAATGAATTCATAGGAGATGGTGGAATAACTGAAACGTTGTAGGTCAAGGGTGCCGTTTAAACCGAGAACCCCTGTATATGAGATGTGGACAGTATTTTGTTGTTTCCTGTCTGGGTCAGGGTCTGTCTTTAATGCTCATGCAAACTCTTTTTTTTTTTCTTTCACTTGTCTCACTCTCAGAGGTTACCTCAGCAAATTCAGGAAAGAAATGAGAAACTAAAGGAGGAGATGATGGGTGAGTACTAAATGGTACTAGTCCTAATAACATCATTGATAAGTCATCTGACTTACTTCTAACCATCTGTGTTTTCCTTAAGGTAAACTTAAGGACCTTGGAAACATGTTCCTGAGGCCATTTGGACTTTCGACACAAAATTTCCAGGTGAACCAGGACCAGAACAGTGGATCCTACTCCATCAACTTCGTCCAGAAGCCCAACAACAACAACAACAGCAGTTGATGTTATTTAAAAAAAAAAAAAAAAAGCATTCAGAAGAAAATGAGGTGGTGACGACTTCCAGGACACAGTATCCTGACAGTGTAAAAACGATGTTTTTTGGATGAGACAATATTGTCGCATCGGAACCGGCTATCTTTGTGTTGGAGAGACTGAGCACATTGCAGATCGCTCAGTAGCATCTTTCTCCTTGTCACAGTATCATGTCGTGTTTTGTTTCCAATTGTTTTGAAGGCTCCTCAAAATAAAATGTCCAACATCGATGGCCAGTGACTCAATAATGACACCATCACAATTAGTGGAGGGAGCCAGTCCCAGTCTTGATGCTCATAAGGCATCCAAAGCTAGCTGTGTTGACAATACATCTGGCAAAAAAAAACAACCTTATCTTTAATCCAAAAGCTTTTAATAAATATACTTAGAAATGTAGTCATCTGCACTCAAACCTAAAACGACTTATATTTTAAAGTACGACACCTGTAAATGGTTTTCCTATCCAGTACAATTGGGATTAAAAATTACAAATTGTCTATTTTCATTGAAATATTTGTGTATTTGAAACTGATTGGTGTATTGTCAAACTTGGAAGCCCCTCTTGTCCCCCCTGCATCTTCAGTTACAAATTAGAACATTAAATACAAACCATCTACTGGCAGTACATATTTATTATTCAATATTTGGTGTGGTTGTTTTATGTTATCATAAGAAGTTTGCAAAAATGACTTAGGCCATTATTTTAATAAAGGGGATGGTATGTACTTATTTAAGACAGCAGTTAATGGGAATATGTGTTCCTTAAGCACTGATCACTTCCAGTGATATTAAGTAAATCACAATCCATCTTGCACACCTTTGAAACAAAGAAGACGTTTTTAGTCTTGGTTTGCCACACGATTCATAGAATGTGTCAAATTAAAGCCTCTCCAAACATATTCAAACCCAGTTTTAGTTTTGTCATCGTCTTTAGCAGAGTTCCGTCACCTGTAAGCGACACTCATTTCCATTTAGGTCATAGAGTAAGAAGAATAGTATGTTATACAAAATGTCATAAGTATATGTTATAAGGATAGTAGGTCATAAAGCAGTACTTCTCAAATAGTGGGGGGCACGATGAGGTGCCAGGGGGCCACGAGGGGCTTCCAATAGAATATGGCATGCTGGACATTAGCGCATGTGGCAGTTGGTAGTTTGTTCCACCACGTGGAAACCAGGGTGAAGAATGGCCGAGATTGCCTTCTCTGAAGGCAGGACAAGTCACAGAGCACAGTATCCGAGTGGGTGTGTAAGCCTTTATCAATGCTCCCTGCAGTTATTTTATAAGCAGGAGTCAATGGATTGTGTGTGATCTCCGCATTTAATGAGCTTCCTCTCACTTTTTAGAATTGTGTAAATACCAAGGTCAGAACACAAGCTCCAAGAAGAAGTCCAGTTGCTTACAACAGATAACATAACCTGGATGAATGAGAATCTTCACAGATGACAGAAAACAAGTTGTCCTCCTAAGTTTTCGACGAGAAAACAAGTTGTCCTCCTAAGTTTTCAACTAATTCCCTTCACTATAAATATCTCCCTCTCCTCATATCTTTTATTTTCTCCCCACCTAAACTCTTTCATATCTCCTCTCTTAACCGGGTAGCGTGATTCCCTCTTCGGGGAGCAGATTAAGTTAGCTAACTCAGGCCAACTTAACAGCTATTCTAGGCCCACTTTTATCTCTAGGTAAAAAAGGTAATAATCCCTTTTACTACCTAAGAGTTTGACATATTAATTTTAGCATAAGTTTTAGCCTTTTATTTTCACATCTTTGTAGCACTTTGAGAGCTTTTTTCTGAAATGTAAAAGAGTGCTAACAGTGCAGTTAACCACTGTTTTCACCCCTCTACCCCCCCGTCCAACCCACAGCCCCGCAAATTGAAATACTAGTGAGAAACTGATAACATGTATATTTTTTTATCTATAGCACTTTGAGAGCTTTTTTCTGAAATGTAAAGTGTGATAACACGAGGCTTGTTATCGTTCAAGTATTACAGCAGTGGTACATTTATTATGTCCAGCGTGTCATATTCCATTGGAAGCCCCTTACGTCCCACCCATGGGCGCCCGCCCCACTATTTGGGAAGTACTGTTGTAGTGTGACATTATTTGTGACTTATTGTTGAATCAGGCAAAATGCATGAAATATTCAGACCAGATTTTCAATATTCAGTTGTGTTACATTCTCTGCTGCATTTATGGGGGGAAACAGCTAAGTATGGTGGTTTAATTTTTGTTGTTGTTAATATTTCAATAAAATCACACTGAAGGTATACACACTTTTAATTTCAATTGGACTTACTTGTAATTAACCAATGGCCTGTGTGGCAACTTTTAATATTACATGGATGAAGATCATGATATAAAAAAAAGTAACATAGTGGCGATAGCAGACAGACAGACAAAGTCAGTTTAACTTAATAAAAATGTAAAGAACCGATCATTGATGGGTTTCTTTCACGGTCCCCTTCTGGATACAAGCATCTCTCTGATGTTGTCTTCAGCTTCTTTTACGCTGCGTTCGAGGTAAAGCTTCCTCTGCTGTAAATGAGAAAAGCACACGATTTTCGTTCCTCTGCTGTAAATGAGAAAAGCACATACTGATTTTCATACTGAGGAATACACGAATACACAGAAACAGAAACTATATGCACACCTCCAGCTCTTTGATCTTCTCGTCCGCTGTCTTCTGTTTGTCCATCAGTTGATTGTTAATGACCTCCATTGGTTGCAGGATAAACCTGAAAAAACAAATACGGTTGATGACGTTACACGGCCTATACTTTTGACTTCGTCAGTGACCACGGCAAAAACTCACATGCGTCCGACACCCTCGTAAAGCCGCGTATTATCAGGCAGCGTGGCGATCTCGGCGTGCGTGAGCTTGGCATGTTTATGTACACGGTTCAGCTGATCAATCTGCAGGTCGGACAGTTTTACCTTCTGCTGTCTGTCAATCATCTTCACCTGCAACTCCGAGAAGGCCTAGAAGACACGGTGGACACTGGGTCACGCTGAGATTAAAAACCAGACAGAGAGACAGATTTCCGTGGTATTGCTAGCTATGCGTATAGACAAGTCTTAATATAGCGACAGTGACACAGCGGCCAATCGAAATCCAACGAAAAATGTGCTATTAAAACCAGAGCTTCGACAAAATTGGTAAAGCGAAAACGTCGACACGGGTGGACGTTAACTAAAGCAAGATTATATCTTTGAAAACAATAATGATTTTAAATGTAATTTAAAAATATATCGTCTTTACTTTCTTCAACTCCAGATCCACGGGCGCCGCCATCTTTCAAGTCCCCACCACCTATGTACATACACTGCGCATGCGTAGCTTTCACTGAGTTTCGTCAGCGCTTCCTGCTGGTTCAGTCAAGCGTTACCGATAAAAAAAAAACAAAAAAACACACACACACAAAACTGCCAATATTTGTTTTGTCCTATTTACAGAATTAATGGCGTCGAGTCCGAGTCGTAAACAATTTGGACAATTCATTGCAATAAAACCCACAATTTACGAACATCTTCAAGAAAGTAGCATTGTCTTTAATATTTTCTGAAAAAATAAAATTTGAAATTCAAAACGATAAGCATATGCTTAATGTACACACCAAATACAAAATATTTACCAAACACTTAAGTTTTTCTCTTATTATTCATATTCTCTCATATTTATACTGAATGTTCAGTTATATCTACAAACCCAGCAGTTAAAAATATGTACATGTATTTAAAAAAAACTGCAAGGTAATATTTATATTTCTATTGCACTATGCTATCTTTCTTATATCTTTCATATAACATGTATTGTACTAATATGTGTTGCAACAGAAAAAAAGGCAAGGCACAAATTGCCTATCAAAGCCGCACTTACTCACAATGACAGCTCTTTTTAGCTTGTAAAATATTTCCTGCTTTTGCCTCAGTGGTTCTCAATTATTTTCTGTCATGCCCCCCCTCAGGGACAGAAATGTTTTCACACCCCCACCACCCCTGCCAAATGAAATACTATTGAGAACTTGATAAAGAACCCACTGTAAAGAAACCACTGTATGAGTTGCTGCCACCTAGTGGACTGGAGGCTTGTTAATCATTGAAGCATTACTGCAGTGGTACACTCATGTCCAGCATGTCATATGGGGATATCGCATGCTGGACATGAGTGTACCACTGCTGTAATGCAGGGGGGCCCGTCCCACTATTTCAGAAGTACTGACGTAACCTAACCCTCTGCTGCACATCACATGTACATAAATATAATCAATATATTAAATGAAACATCACTGCCAAGGTCTAGCTTATAGCAGATGAAGCTTTATTTCTAACAAATGATATAATGGAAAAAATCAAACACACTAGCATCACTAGCATCTTCGTAAGCTTAATTATTTTATCTTGTATGGTTCAAAGTCCCTCTACCAAAGAATGCCTCACATTCATGCCACAGCTTCTCCCCTTTTAAATTCTGCAACACAACACAATCCAGTTAATTACAGACAAACAGATTACAACATTACTAGCGTCACTACACCAAACGTGGTCCTTTTTAAACATTAACATTGCTTTTAACACTTTGTGCCTGTCACCGTACACCCATGTCTTGTCCTGTTGCAGACCTGTCCGCTTCTCAGTGGAACACTGTCTGTCTCCAGCGTTTGTCATCAGTGAACGGCCACAGACAGTCCACAACAGAGGTGAAGGGCAGCGAGTGAACGTTAAGGTTCAGCATTTCTAGACGAGAACAGTTCAAACGGCTGTTCATTGGACGAAGAGCAGCGGTCAAGGCGGACTGCTCCGTCAGCTGTCGGAAAAGGGTGAGAGACAGAGACATTTGATGTAATTAATCTGTTCATTCAGAATGCGATGATAGATATTCAGAGGTGATTTCAGGACTGAGGTGAGCGGAAGACAGCCTGAAGGCCTGAGCCATGGCTATTCCCATTTCATATTTGGTCATCTGCTCGTTGGCTGAGAAGTGGAAGATGCCGTTGATCGATGGGTCCTGGGAAACAGACCATAAGAGAGTAAGTGCCACCGCAACACCTCGACACGGCGACTGTGTTCGTGTCTCTAACTCTGACCTGTCTTGCTCTCTCACACAGCTTTCTGCAGACAACTGCGACGTCCCGTGTGTGCGTAGGGAACCTCTGCTGACAGTGATCCAGAGCACAGCTCTCTGAAGTGTCCCGAACTTTAAGCCACAGTGATGTGACTGCACTTTCCGACACTGACTCCACCTCCCCAAACAAGATGGGCACACGTAACACCACTGCGCCTACGGAGCAAAATGGTGCAGATAGAGAGAAGGTTAGAAATAGTTTTTTTTTTTTAAACTTTTTTCCATTAGATACATCTACATAATGAGTCTCAATCACTAAAATGTGGGACTAAGACTACAGTATGTATTAGGGCAATATGATTTAGGACTGATAAACGGAAAGGTACCTGGACAGTGTCTCAGCGTCTCCCGCTCGCCCTCCAGTTTACTGCGTCCATAGACGTTGAGTGGACTCGGGGCATCGTCCTCTCCGTATGGAGGGTTTCTGCCATCGAATACGTAATCAGTGCTGATGTAGAGGAAGAGGGCGCTGCACGCAGCTGGAATCATATAGAGACATTACGTTACACATCAAGGTGTAGACGTTATCAAAGAAAGGTTGATTTCACTATAGAAATACAGTGGAGGCTTCGAGATACGAGCTACACGAGATACGAGTTTTTTTTTTTTTGTGGGCTTTAGTGGTAACTTGGCAGCTTGTGGATTAAAACTGATTCCTGTCTGCTTCCTTAACCACCAAGCCACCACTGCCCTATAATTGCCCGGCCCTATATTGTGTTTAAAGATGATGTCACAACATATCCTGACCTGCTTCCTTGGCCAACACACTTGTAGCATGTACATTGAGGTTAATGGCAGCTTCAGTGTGTCGCTCCACGATGTCTGGGCGTCTCTCTGCTGCACAGTGGACGATGACGTCAGGCTGGGGGGGGGGGGTCACACAAATACATTTAATATTGGTCACAACAATGGAAGTGGGTCTACTTTTAACATTAGCCTCTTTGTTTTGAGAGAAAACCGTCCAATGAATGTAAACATTAGCCTCTTTGTTTTGAGAGAAAACTGTCCAATTAATGTCAAAAAATGACACTGTTTAATGCTTAATATAATACAATACACCAAAAGTACTTGGTTTTAATGTCACATTACCCACCTTGTATTCATGCAGGAGCTCTCTGACAGCGTCTTCATCTGTGAGATCGCAGCGGAGGAGGCGTGGCCTTGCTCTCCTGTATCCAGTCCCAACAACCACCCAGCCATTGTTCTGAAACTCTTTGTACACCGCTCGACCCAAGAGACCTGTTGCCCCTGTGACCAAGACTCTGGGACCTTGGACCAACGCCTCTTCCTGGAACACACGCTGTGCTAAAATCAGTTCTGCATTAAAACTGTACCAATACTGTATTACATATTGCTGAACATTATGCACGTAGAAATAATTATTTCTACATTAGTATGCACTTATTTTTGATCATAGTAACACAGTACTACACCGCACGATAAATGTATATTTAGTAGTAAGTCATAAACAGCAAGATGTATTTATTTATTTTTAAAGTTACGTTTATTCCATGCCGCATATTTAACTTAAGAAGTTCGTCTCGAGTATTACAATTATACTGCATAAATGCCAAGTTTACGCAATAATGGCTTATACTGTTTAGGGGGATTTTAAAAAATACTGCTCAGTACTGCAATATTATATTACTTTTAGACTAATCCACGTTGCTTTCACGCTGGGTGAATAAGCTAGTGCATTCACGATATAAATGCACTTTCTACATTCATACAACATCTGAGATCATCTGTTAGCGCTAAACTCTGTTAGCTTTCAGCTGTGAACAAGTCTGTCACCACTTACTTGAACCAGCTGAACTTTCCCGGGGATGAACCTAATTCTCAGTTCTGCTCCTGAATGGCTCATCTCCCTGTCTTGTCTTTAAATGACCTATTATTGAGTATTATTATTATTATTTTTACTTATTGATATCAATCAATACACCGCTCGAGTGTGCTACGTATTTACTTTTCCTTTCCGCGTAGGCAGCGATGACATGTTTGCCGTAAAACAGTGTCGCAAAATCATTTAGCATTCAGGCTAACTGTCTTCATTTAGCATTTAGAGAGAAAAAAACCATTAGAGTAGGCTAATAAAACACGGTGAATTCATTAAGAACAGCATGAGCATAATGTGTTAACTCCCTACGTTCTATGTTATACCTTTTTTGGTTAAATTAAAGGTTTACATTTCTCAATTCTCAATACAGTGTATGTTTTTAAGCAACCCTTACAAAACCACGCGCCCCACTACTGACAAAGTTGTATAATTTATTATTCATTTATTTTTGTTTTATTCAGATGTCTCAATTTCAAGTAGGAATAGTTTGTGTTATCCCAAAAGACAGTGGTCATACTACGACACTACTCACTCTAGTACAGTAGGTGGCGGTGTGCACTTAAAAACGATGGTTGTGACTCGCTATTACATTAAGACGTCACGTCCCTACAAAGCTAAAATGACATTCAGGTGTTCGACGGAATGTTGGAAGAACTTCATACACAGACACAAACCGTTTTATATAAAGAAAGGAACTCTTTTTTGTTAATATATTTTTGTATTCCTTTGTTGTTTAATATATTGAGAGCTAGCGAGGTAAATAAGACAATAGTAGGAGATAAGCCCTACTATATACATAAGACCATTTTAATTGATAACAGTATAACCTCATTTTTGTAGTGTAGCCAATACCACTGACTGAAGTGAACCACATCACATTAGTGATACCATATATACCAACACCAAATGACAGACTTACATTGGACCAGAGGACCTCATCTGCGAGATTTGGAAATTGAACAGTACGTGCAGGAAATATGGTATAAACGTAACAGCGATCAACAGTTATGTAGTTATACAGTAATTCCACAAAAATGTTTTATTTGTTCTACCTGACGGAAGTGGGTTGATCCTCCCTGGGCGGAAACTTGAATCGATATATACGATATTCTTGATATAAAAAGTCAGTCACACCCAACCTTTCCCTCTTTCTTCAGACTTTGTGTGAGAGGTTAGTGTTTTTCCGTTGCTCCTTGTTTTCAACATTTTATCTAATTCTGTATAATATATTTATTTTATGTGCACTTTGTAGGGGCTCGGGTGGTGTCCAGGAGGAAAATTTGTTTTGTTCTATGTGAATTCCGAACAATAAAGCGTTGGTGACAGCAGCACGACGGCTTTCATTAAACACAATGCAGAGGTTACACCGGTTATATAAAGATTTTTATTAGTATGCGTACTCTCAGAAGGATGAGGATGATTTACGTATATACTGTACGTATTTACCCTTCACGAACCTCCCTACACTGTTATCAACAGTCGAACAACAACAACAACAGTGCCCTCCTGTGTCTATATGAGGTATCCTACATTAATTAAATGCTCACCATATATACAGTACATACGTCACACATGACATGCCTTTTATCTTAGATTTCCCAACCGTACGTACTATACATGATTGTTTTTTGTTTTTTTAAATGTATTACCCTGTATGTATACAGTATGTGGCAAAATGTCTTAGATATACATTCTCGTGCTCACGAGATACATTTCTTTGTTCTTTTTTCCCCCCATGTCCCTTTCAGAGCCTCTGTAGTATTCTTTTACAACACAGGCATAACAAGTAAGTGAAAGCACAATATAACTGCAAAGGCACACCTAATAAAATATGCTCTATGCTAATACCTACTGTAACCTTTGGGAGTAGTGCAAAGTGAAGGGTCCCGATCCAAACTTCGCCCGAGGAAAAAAAAAATCCATCAAATTTCATGGCTAATTCTTGTTCACATATGTATAAAAGTGTTCAATGTTTGTTATGGAAGTCAAGTTTTACAAAAATAACGATTTACTATGCCGCTGAATATGATGACCACGTATGTGGACAGAGGGACTGGGTCATCATAAATGCTAGCGACAAAATGTGAGAATGAAATTGTATTTTCGGATGATTTTGGTAGAAAAAAGTAAATAGTTTACTACAGTACAAACAGATATAGAATGTTTTATAAATAAGATTTTAAGAGTGTTATTCTCTGTCAAGAGTAATGGCGTTACTGGGGTTAATTGGTGGAGACAATTCAGAGATGGAAGATTTGTCAGACATTGATGATCCTGTGGTGGATGTTGAAAATCATCCCTCACAACAGGAGCCAAGCAGCAGTGAAAAGGACAGCAGTGAGTGTGAAGACCCCATTGTACATCCCACTAAGCCTATCAGGGGATGTAAACGTTTCAGTGATAAATATGAATATATTTATATTATACATTTATATATTTATATTTATAAATATGGATCCTACTAGACTACATAGAACAGTATATTGATATTGAAGATTTGATGAAAATGATTGCAGATTGCTCTAATGCTATGCTATGCTATGTCACTGGCTAAAAGTGGGGACCCACTCAACACATCAACTGATGAAATGTATCATTTTTTTTTTTGGTGCCTTATCCACCATATCCTGCAATCAGGATGTACTGGTCCAAAGCCTTGAGATTCCCTGCCATAACTGAGCATCAATGAGCATATGATTCCATTCACAGGAGCGTGTCCATGTCGACAATATCTGCTTGCCTGTCTCGAACTCTGCATCCTAATACAAATGTTTTCTGTGATCAGTTCTTCACATCCATCCAAGGTTCTGGAACACATGATGAAGAAGCAGATGTATGTAACTGGTATGAAGTTATGAAGAATTGGTAAAAGTAACAATGCAAAATGTTTAGAATGTTTTTGTTTTTTTACTTTGTTACAGACATACATCTCCCTGCAACTGTTAGCAGCACTTCAGGTAACAATGCAAAATGTTTAGAATGTTTGTTTTCTCATTTTGTTTTTGAACTCGGGAAAAATGCTGCTGTGTTCTGGCACACAGTAAATAGTTTTGTACGTCATTGCTCAATTGTGACTTTATTGTGTTCTATCAACATTTAAAATGAATTTCCTCATATGTGTACATCATTTTTCTCAGAAACTACATAATGTAAAAAGACAATTATTTGTTTTTACACCCGTTAGGTTCCAATTAGTCCAAGTAGCAAAGAGGAATTAAAAATGCATGCCATGCAAGAGTTCGGGTCATAGGAGGTTATGGTAAATAGGAAGTGACGTCTGACTGGATTCCAACCTGTGTCCTTTCTACAGGGTTACACAATTAACATACTTAAATTTATATATATATTTTTACACTATTTTCTACACAAACTGTTTAACACTGTTGAATTAGTCCAAAAGTTTTTTTTTTAAGACCTTTCACCTCTCATCCAAGAGGCTTCTTCAGTTCTGTTGAATTAGGAAATCAAAACACTTGAAAGCAGCTCTCACCCGGACATATGTCGTAACGACCTCTGATTGGCTGAGAGAAATCCACCCAGAGAAGGCGGCCTAGTGCGCATGTCCAATAAAGTTACGACAGGAGGAGGTTGTTTGGAAAGTGTTCGTCAAGTTTATCAGAACTGGAGTGATTTTGCGTGTTTGCGTGTATCAACAGCTAGATATTGTAGACGGAATATACCCTTCACACACCGAGACATAGAAAGGGTTCGAAGCAGCGACACATGGCACTGAGGTATCTGGTCAGAAACATAGGAAAAAGAATAGTACCCACACCAAGACCAAGACCATATCATGAAAATCGAGTTCGCCCCGTTGAACATTCCTCTACGGAGGAGGCTACAGACAGCGGCTGTGCTGCAGTGGATCTTCTCTTTTCTGGCCATGGGTAAGAACCCCCACCTCTGGGCACACATACACATAGACAGACACGGGGGTGGGATTGGGGGGAGGAGGGGGGTTGTTAATGTCCTGTGAGGACTTCACATACACAATGCTAACCTCCTATTCTAACTTGTGCCGCACAAATATACGCGGAATCTTAACCCTCACTTCAAAATGACCCCACTCAAATCTTAACTCCAAACTAAATCAGAAACCTGAATCCATTAAATATAAGAATCAAATATACATTTCAACAAATATAAAAAATCAAATATACATTTTATTAGAAATATAAACCAAATACTAAATAAATACAGTTTTAATGATGAATACTACTAAGAAAAACAAATGGGAGCACGTTATTTAGACCAGGATATATTTGCATACATTTTACTGGACTTTCACAACATACTGAAATATCCTGTACTCCAGACAGTAACTCTGTGTTTGTCATTTACCACACCACACCTAGCCACACCTTTTGTCTGTTTTATTATTATTATTATTATTATTATTATTATTATTATTATTATTATTATTATATTTAGTCACTTTGCTTTATTTTATTATTTGTCGGTCGAGTATGGTAAAAACTTCACAAAAGCAAACTCTCGAATCAACAGTCAATTTGAATCATTGTGATTTTAACCGTCATTCAAAATGACTGCGAAGATAATTTATCATTAAAAAGACAATAATCGAACAGCCCTACTGACACAGCATAGTTTTGAAAGCTTTGAGTTAATTTGAGATTGAAACCCCCATCTCGAGTTAGATCAGTTGACACACATTAGTTGGGGAGTGATTACGTGTTAGGTGCTCACTGTTTTTAACAACCTCCTGTCATCAGATTTGTGATACATTTACCCTACAAACTTCCAAAACAAAAATTCTTCTGTCCTCTGTGCGTCTGATTTAGCCCAGTGCTGTTTGGCAGCATTTGTCCTTCTTCTGCTCTCTGATTGGTGGATGCTGGCTCTACTTTATGCTAGTTGGCTATGGCTGGACTGGGACACACCTTGCTCTGGAGGTCGGAGGTCACACTGGGTCAGGACCTGGACTGTGTGGGACTACTTCCGGGACTATTTCCCAATAACCGTGAGATTCTTATGATCATTATTATTTTATGTAATACTTAATATGTTACATTCATTTGGCATTTTGCATTTTATTTAATATGTTACATTCATTTGGCATTTTAGATTTTATTTAGAATTAGCATTTATTAGCAAAACGCTAGAGCAGTGGTTCTCAAACTGTGGTGCGCATATCACCAGTGGTACGTAAGCGCTCTCTAATGGTACGCGGGGGAAAATGATATTTTTACATTTACATTTTCAATTGAATAAATCTGAAACATACCATGCACAATTAGTACAACATTTAAACATAAACATCTTTATAAACATTGATAAACATCTCTCCTGTGTGGTGGAAGCTAATAGCTAATATCACTGGGTACGTAGATGTTTTCTCAGGTGGTGCAGAGTATAAAAAGTTTGAGAACCACGGCGCTTTTGTATTTTTATTTGTCATTGTTTCCTCATTTGTGCTGCTGGCTCCAATATCCTGTTAACCCCGTCATTCCTTCCTTTCCAGCTTGTTAAAACAGTAGATCTAGATCCGAAGCAAAACTACATTTTTGGATTTCACCCACATGGTGAGATTTTTCAGTGTTCTTCTTGATTTCAAGTCTCTTCCTCTTTTCTCACACTCTCCCCTGTTTTGATTTGTTTTGTTTTGTATATCATCATTTCTGTGCATGCCTGTTTCATCAGTTTGCTTTTTTAAAATGAGTCTGCTTTTTTTTTTGGTTAATTTTCAGTACATTTTATTCATTATTACTTTTGTCAGTTTCAAGTTATGCCAGTGACCATTGTTGGTTTTCCTATAATTAAAGAGGGGTAACAATATGTTTTACCATGTAAATGTGTCACTGAAACAACACGGCTATAACAGGAAGTAATGCAAGCAAAATGCGCGCGTGCCAGCGCGGGCTTGTCTGAATATCGTATTTCAATATGTCTGAGAAAAGACCCAACACTAGCGATTTGCAAAATATGTTATGCGGAAATTTCAAGAGGGGGTAAAAAGTATACACTCATAGAGTCAACACACGTTTCACTGAAATCTATTCAAATCCCCTGCACTCATCGCGATACTTGATCCCCGTTATAAAGCTCATTACTTGGATGTGGGAATAAAGCAGGGCCCACGAGAAATGATCCAGGCTGCGATGGACCCGCAGAACCTGCTTGGAGAAGCTCACAGTGCAGGAGAAGGAGAGCAGTGTGTCAGATTAGGGGCAGGCACCCTCATTGTTCTGTGAGATCCTGCAAGAGAATTCCTCAAATAATAATATTAATAGGAAGGCTATTCGGTTCTGTGTTCCTACGAGAAATGATCCAGGCTGCGATGGACGCGCAGAACCTGCTTGACCTGCTTGGAGAAGCTCACAGTGCAGGAGAAGGAGATTATTTTGACAATTATTTATGTATTATTAATTTATGCAATTGCAGTGCCTTGATTTTATTGAGGTTTAGTTCGCAGTCATAGCCATAAACGCAATTTTACTAATAATCAACAAAATAAATCCTTTCTGTTTCGGTTTTCGGGTATTAGCCTTGGTTTCCTCACTTTCGTTTTTTTTCGGTTTCAGCCTGGTGCTACAAGAACCAGGTCTGGAGTCTCTCCCTCAGTACTGGAGACCACTGGACAGGAGACAAGATCTGGCTTGCTACTGGCTGCAAACTTGATGTAAACCAAGACCCACTGCTGTCTGGGGTGATGAAGGAATTCCCAGTACAGGTGAGTTACTGGGGAAAATATGATTTCTAACCATACTGTATATATGTGTCGTAAAGTTCAGGCCAAACGTTTTGGTGTTTTCCTAATAAAGGTGATCGATGGCTGGCCGTGCATCACTGAGGGTTTACAGTGGGCAGAGGGGTGTCCACTTTATCTGATGGGACAGTACACAGCTCTACAGGTGTGTTGCGGAATTGCATTTCTGCGCAGACATTAGGAAGCTTGTGTTATTTATTTACACACGTGTATTCATATACAGGTTGGACCACATGCTGTAAATCTGGCTGGTGGACAGGCGGCCAGTGTGAGAATCGCCAAAGACATTAGACAACAGAAAAACCCAGCTGACCCCAGAAATGGAGAGAAGTCTAAAACTGAAGACTACATTCAACACATGCATGGTCTTTTATGGCTTTGACATCACGCAGGCTAAAACCTAAAAATGTGAAATAAAATGAACTCTACAGAGGGTCCTCGGCTTACGTCGTCCTCCTTCTATGGCTTTTGTGGTTCATTTTTACATATATATTTATATATATTTCTTTCTTTCTGTCTGTGTTGAGGTTCAATAGGAAAACGTAATGTAAATGTAAATATAAATATATACGTTTATTTGCTAATGTTGGTTGTCAGGTGTATTTTCATTTGTGGATTAAAATGGACTTTCCTTGATCACCTTGTATTTATCTCTGCTAAACATTATTTATGCAACATATGGGTTATTTGTTCTATTGTTATGCTACTTGTGGTCACTGCTACTGATTTATGTATATACAACGGTTCGTTGTAAAACAAACTGAAAATATCCACAAGTGAGGAAAAAAAGCGCACCGAAGAAAGCATAGTGTATGTAGTGGACCACCTGCATTTACCACTAGATGGCAAGAAAGTAACATTTTTAGAAGATTTTAGGACTTATATTATATTATATTATATTATATTATATTATATTATATTATTATATTATAATATTATTATTATTATTATTTTAATTATTATTTAAATTTATTTATTTATTTATTTATTATTTATGTATTTATTTATTTATGTATATATGTATTGTATGTATTTGCATATGAGTGAGCATATGTGTGAGTAGAGGCAGTGGTGGCTTAGTGGAAGCGGACTTGGGTCTGGAAGACTTCTGGTGGAACAAATACGTCTGTTAGTGGATGTTAACTTGGAACAAATACGATTGGTGGAACAAATTGGTGGAACAAATACGAACTTCAGGTTCCACCAGAAGGCTTCACCAGCTGCTCCCCTGGTGCTTAAAGCTGCCCACTGTTCACTTTGGTGATGGGTTAAAAGCAGAGGTCACATTTGGTTGTGTGCAGTGGTGTGCTGGGTCACAATGACAGGTAGTTCACTTTCACTTCCAGAGCTCAGCTAGTTCCTGTGTTTTCTTTTGGCGAAAACGAGTTGTTCGATCAAATGGATAATCCCACAGGATCCCCTCTGAGGACGCTGCAGGTCAGTTGTTTGTGTGCGTTTGCGCACGCGATGTCCACGGTATGCTAGGATGGGCTACGTTGACGTCAGCATATGGTCGTCTGTCCACAGAACCGGCTGCAGAGCGTCATGGGAGTAGCAATGCCGCTGTTTCATGCCAGAGGAGTTTTCCAATACAGCTTTGGCCTGATGCCTTACAGAACATCTATACACACCGTTGGTAAGACCACATGCCCAAGGGACGCATAATATTGAAAGAAATCATTGCAATATCATTATCACATCTCAATATTTTTTGCCCTATGAGATAGTGAACAAAAGAAAAGAAAGCAACGTCTTCAAAATCACATTTTTAACTACAGTTAACATGTTCGGGGGGGGGGGGTCCTTGGTGTTTGACGTCCTGGATCTGGGGGGGTCCTTGGTGTATGACGTCCTCGATCTATGGCGTTCTGTGGTTATGTCATCATTTCCCATAAATCTATTAAGAAAGTCTTGTTCCATCATTCTGACATGCGTCCTTAAAATACATTTCGCATGGGAATTGGATGCATAACGGGTGGACAAATACGGACTATTGAGCGCACCTGAATATAAGCTGCACCCACTAAATAAATAAAAAAATAAATAATTGTACATATATATGCCGCACTATTCTATAAACTGCGGCTGCCCACGTTGTAACATGGGATATTTACACAATTAAACTTGAAAAACGTGCTTAAAAAAAAAAAAGAGAACACGCTGTCAACTGATCTATCGGTGAACGATAACATCCTGCCGGCCTGGCCTAACGACACATAAATCTGTTTCGTTAGCATTAGCGTTGACATGAGTGTGCTGAAAATGATCAAATCGACTGCCATGTCATATCTGAGTATCTGGTGACAACAGTTGTCCAATGTTGATAGAAAGAATATGCTAACATTATCTACAGTCTACAGCACGAGTGTAGTTAATGAAACATGATGAAGTTTATGGCCCACTGGCTATAAACCTCTGGGCTACATTGTCTAGTTTTCTTTTGTCAAACTAATGTAAAAATGCTAATTTTGTAAATAGTAAATAGAGCGAAAAAACTTAATTTAATAAATTTACATTTAATTAGCATAAGCTGGCCCAGAGGCAGTGTCTCTGTCATTGGTGTGGAACCCCAGGGTTCACCTCCTGGGCAAGTTCGAATCCCAGTTAGGGCAGTTGGTACCTTCCAGTGGACTCACCACCCACAGGAAGGTTTGGGGGGTTGGTACGGTGCAATGTGATTTGGGTGGCGACTGCTGACCCCCGCGACCCGGTAACTGATAAGCGGATGAAAATGGATGGATGGATGGTTTGCAAGTTAACATCCACTAACAGACGTATTTGTCTGCATATTTGTTTTCAGTTGGGAAACCAATTCCTGTGTCCCAGATCTGCAGTCCTAGCAATGAGGACATTGACAGACTTCACGCCGTTTACTTACAGAGCCTAAGTGATCTGTTTGAGCAGCACAAACACGACTACGGCATAACAGTTGACAAACACCTCACTTTTATTTGACCCGTGTGTCTGGTCTTCAAATGGCCTGTTTAGGAACACCTGATGGCCAGGTCACCACTCAGTAGGTGGGTTGAAAACTTTTGTACTGAATAGCACCATACCAAAACTGTAACTACTTCTTATGGGTTCAGAAAAGACTAAATTGCTACTGTCTGAAAATTACTAGCTGTGGGTAGGTTATGCAAACTCTGAAAACTGTGCCCATCACCAATAGGAGATAATGTTAGCACCTAAAAAATGCTAGTTGATAATAATTGCTGCTAAATGCTAACCTTATTCGTATTGCTTACCGATAATTGCCTAAATTCTGTCTTTTGTGAATGTTGGGATACTAAAATAATATGTCAGCTTGAAGTGACTGACAATCGACCGTGCCTTTACTACCCACACAGTAGTCAGCATTGTTACTAGCAAGCCATAACGTACTAGCAATGCTCATTAAAGCTAACAAGCTAGAAAGCGTAATAAGGAAACATGCTAACTATGCTTACTAACACAGAGACAAAACATACCGTTTGTGAGAGCCTGAAAGGATGTGTTTTACAAATTTTGTACCACTCACTGTGACAAAGTAAAATCTGAAGTTTCTAACCACAAGTTTTATGTACCGACAAAATCCTGAAAAATGACACCAATTATATTCTCTTGAATCAAACCTAATTGGCTTAAATCACACTGATAAGTCGTTTGTCTCAACACAAGTGACATTAAGTTCCCAGTGAATGTAATTCAAACGTTCGAGGTACTGGACTCAAGCTTATTTCCTGTATTGTTTGAACTTGTCCAGAGCTTGAAGATCTGTATCATCCAGTCGCCATTAGTTGTGATTCAAAATGTGAACCTTAGTTAATCTGTAAACTTCTGTCAGCCCGGATGGCGGTTCATGGCCTTAACATACTTTCTTTTGCAGTTTACAAACAAAGGTTGTCTTTGTATCAAGTGTCCCCCCTCTCTCTCTCTCTCTCTCTCTCTCTCTCTGTCTCTCTCTCTCTCTCTCTCTCTTATAAGGGGATTGACGTATCTTAAAGAGAACCAATGACTATAATAAGGGCTGTGTATTTCTTAAGACAATAAAAACCTCAAGACAAACATTTTAAACTGTTCTCATTTGTTGTTGCTTTGTCTCTCTCTTTTTTTAATTGAGAAACAATAATAAATGTACTTGTATTAGATTTAGGCGCTCTGGTCCAATATACACGTATATATTTGCTTCACGTCTTACTGCTTTGTTTAGTTTTTGTGAAGCATGCTACTGTATTCTCTGGACTACAACTTAGCTCCTGAGTATAAGTCGCACCAGCCAGCTAGAGTGCCCTCTAGCGGCAGTCGGTGTAAAAATAATGACCCTTCCACGGCTGTCATTGTGAACATGTGA